TATCTACTGGATAGTCAATATTGCACGACGGACATGAAGACTCTGAGGAGGAAAAACGTGTTCAGTGCCGTAGAAGGAACACGAGGCGTCCAGGACTCTCGACCCAGGTATACGACTGATAAGCAGACTCAACTACAGCTCTCAGTAGCCCTATGCAAAAACAGCAATCAAATTAAAACATGACGCTCGGCTTTAGGGGCTGGGACGTTGGATTCTACTGACAAGTCTACACGGAGCCGGAACCCGGAAGAACATCAAATCTCATGAACTAAGACGAGTTTATGCAATGTCGAATTCGAGGAAGACAAAGAAAGATAAATTGGAAAAGATTCGGAAGGCTGTGGCTTGACCACTTTCCAGGTACTATTCCAGAATTTGCATGGGGAGGCTGAGGAGAAATTAAAAGAAATCCTCAGTCAAAGCTGCCATCCTCAGCGTCGAACACCTAACCAGCCCTTTCCACTTATGAAGCACAGCTGATAACCACTCAACAGTTCTCAATTCCTCCAATGTCCACGTGCTCTTAATTTCAAAAGGTGCATCTGCACTCTGAACTTCCTGATATCCCAGTGTACGCTGATGTCAATAACTTTTACTTTCGCCCACCAAAGGACGCATACACACATTCAATGAACGAAATAAAGACATTTTAATAAACTAAATCATTATATATGTCAGTATTCGCACTTAGAAAATTAGTGTAGGTGTTCAAAATGACCACCGTTAGCTTCCTGGCACAGTCGACGCGGTCACGAAAGTCCCTGCCGTGTGTACACATCTTTTTTTGAACACCCTGTATATTATATTTGTTATTAGGAATCCGTAACAGCAGTAGTGTCATTCTGTAGCTTAATTTTGTATTTCACAGTTGGCATCGATTATTTTTGTTGCATTAGAAGTAATCGCGGAAGCCAGAAGTTAACCGTCGCGTAATCACGCGTCAACACCACGAACGTGAGCCCGCAGTTTGCCCGGGAGGCAAACAATCGGCCGGCAGAGCTTGAAAATAGCAAACAATCGCAGAGGCAGCGGCTGGCCGCTTGGGACGAGCAGGCAATTTGTAGGAGGACAATGGAAAGCGAGTTCTCACTCGTTCATAGGGATTGCAACACAGCCTCGATTCAGCGACGGAAAAACTTCGACAGCAGAACGATCATAAATAAATCCAGATCATTGTTCGTCTTTTTTACCATTAGATGCAGTTGAGTGGTCAGTTTCATGTCGCGGCCATTTTAACCCCGAAGGCGATGACTCATCGCCCTGATTTTTTTGTTTTTTTTGGGGGGGGGGTGGCAGAAAGCACATCTGAAATTCTCCGTCTTTTACGGAATCAGAAGGTTCATTATCGTGTTCACAAGATTTCGTCACCAGTCCCTATCGTGCGCCAGATTAATACAGTTCACACTCTCCAACCTGTTCTCTTAAGACCCATTTTAATATTATCCTTATTATATTTCCCTCTGTAAGAGTTTTTAAGCCAGATGTCAAGTAACTACTTACTTCGCTGTGGTGGACAAATGCAGAACGTTTCGCACCCCTGACCTGCCACGAAATGCCCCGCGCTCCCACTGCTCGCGGTACATCCAGCGGCAGTGGTCGGCGCCAGGCGTCAGCCTTGCAGCTGAGAGGTGCCTTTCGCCGTGTTTGTCTTGAGTGGAGCGTGCAGCAGTCTGTTTGTTCGGCGGAATGGGACGAAGATTGAGAAGACGATGATAAATTTGTTCATCTCTCAAGGCAGGCCGGGAGCCAGCCATCATGCAAATTGATCACGTGACTGTGGATTCCCTGGGCTCCTCCAAGTACGAGTTGAGTCGTACGGATCAACCCCTCTCCTCTTCACTCCCTGGGCTAGACCCTGCCCATACCGGGCTCCAACCCCCCACCCCCAACCCCCAACAGGCTGCTCGATTTGACTTAGCTTAGTTAACTCGTGTTTGTCGAGAAAAGAGCGCGCTCTAAGACAGAGTCCCCACACCCAGGCTCTTATTATCCAAAAGACACAGCAAGAATTGTGCCCAGGGCCTACGAATCTGACCACGACTTTTTTAAAATTGCATGACGAAACTTGTAACAAATATCTCTTTCCGAGAAAAAAAATTAAAGATAATTTTGATCACTAATCTGCCCACAGAAATCGATAATACACCCATGTAGATGCACCACCAAAAAGCCTACGAAACAGAAGTGCCTATAGCTTAAAAGGGCCTTACTCCAGCCTCGCTAATATTTTTCTAATATTTAACATTGCTGGAAATAATATTGAATGCTTGGTACTACACATTTCACAATCTTTTCCCTTCCCTGCTGTATTTAAAAAGTGTAAAGACCAAAATATACAGAAGTAAAATTTACAATTTTGTTCTGCATTGGCGTGAAACCAGTATCACACTTCAAGGAGTGTTTAAGAACGGGGTGTGTTCTGACGTCATTAAAACACCGTTCAAGTCCTACGAGTCACAATTCCCCCCCCCCCCCCCCCGCTCTCACGTCTTACCATTTTTAAGTGCGTTTCAAAAATAAGAAACGACCGTTCTAGGGCGAAAGCATGAGCCCCGTCGCGGAAGACGTTAACTTTGAGACAGATTACTTTAAGGAACTTCAAGTAAAAGTCGACGCATTTTCAGCTCACCGCTAGAAAAGCACATATTTAAGATTAAGTGGATATTTTTATTAGAAAGTTGATTTCTTAGTCAGCCTACGGATAATCTAGAGCTTCAGACAAAATTTAAGAATTTTAATTTTTGCTGTTGAGTGTTATGAATTTTGATATGTCTAAAAGTTTCGATTATTTATTTGTCATCTCTTTTAAGAACGCTCAAAACGCGTATAAATAACGATAATCTTCCTCTCGATGGGAAGGCCGTGTAGACTCTCAGGACGACACCAACGTTTCGGAGAAAAATAATGTCTCCATCTTCAGAGCTAAAGACCATCCGTTGGTGTCTACAAGAGTCCACACGAAGTCACAAACAAGAACGAATACTGCTATTAATATCTGCCTCTTTTTGTAAATATTACTGCATCCGCGTTGTTTTCGTCTGTATCTTTCGCTTTTTTTGAAATTATTATTATTCTTTATTTTTATTTATTTAGTGTTCTGTCTGAGGACAGGTCCATATGAACAGGATCCTTCCATCCTTTTCTCGGACTGGGACCTGTTCATATACGTTCTTGGCAGATGATCCAGAAGTGGTTTGCCATTGCCTTCTTCTGTGTGTGAATGGAGTAATGGTTGGGATGCCACGGAGAAACCGGGGAAGCCCCCGGAGGAAAACTCCGTGGTGCCTAGACCACGGCCTTGCCCAACACAAGTTATAAATTCGGGCACCGCCGGGAATCGAACCCGAGACCCCAGGATTACAAGGCTAGTGTTCTAACCGCTAGACCATCGTGGCGGTATTATTATTCTACAGAAAAGGAAATGGATTTCAGAACATTAGCACATGCAATAAAAATTCGCGATTTTTTCAAGTCCCGATGCAATCTGATCTTGTCTGCCACCTCTTCTTAATTTCTAGCACATTAATATATCAGGTACTGCTCTACCCATGAACATAATCTTTCTGCATTATATATATAACCTTAGGCTTTGTGGGGTTGCAAATGAGGGCAACTAACCCATCCCATACTTGTCATATCAACATAATTCAGCAACTGCTCAGCTGACGACGAGTATCCTTTGTTACTCGCTGCCTAGGCCACGAAGAGGTTACGACGGGCCGCTTTGGAACAATACCTGGTGCTCCCAACCCCCATTGCCCCCGCGGGTATGAACATGTGATCACGTCTACCAACCTTGCACACATAAGAAGCTGCGATCAGTGCATGAAACCCTCCTAGCTTCAAATTGTAATTGCGTCTAAACGCGATGCACCGTAGATTAAATTACATTTCCTTCATAAAAGTTTCCATACTCTTTTAAGAAGTTGATGTAATCGACATGTAGCTCACGAATATAGAATTTTGTGTTCATGCATGCATATGTACAGTACAAACAATGGACTCGTGCATGGTAAAGCCTCGTGTCGCCGTA